TGTAGATTGTGGAACAATGATTTCCGCTATCCCTAGAGGCCACCAAAGTGCGAGCTATCACTACGAATATGACAGCTTTGTTTATAATTCAACCAGAAGTGAGCTTCATCGGTAAGCAAATTTTTTTTGAGCTGTGTCGCTTAAACTGAACTCTTAATTTGGTAATAAATTTGCGTGATTCACAAATGTTGTCCGGATTTGAAATGTAATCCAAACTGAATATAAATCCAGTAACAGCTGTGAAAAAGACCTACTCAACCACAATACTGAAAATTTTTAATGGAAGTCATCAAAAAAACAGCTGATTAAATGGGATTTTTTTACAAATACAAAAATATATTTTCTCCAAGAAAAGAGTGTAGAATTTAAGAGAATTTAACCAGAAATGATAACCATTATGAATTTCATTAAAAAAATAGCTTTCTCATTCACCAATGGTTGTAAATTTTTCAAATTTATTAAATTAATATGTACTTTTTTGATAAGATTTAATTTTTATTATGGTTTTTTTATATTTGCACTCAAAAAAAAATCATTATATCGGAGCTTTAAATTTTTCTTAACAGAAAAAATCATTAACTTGATATTAAAGTTTTTTGACCCAAAATAAAGATTTTTTCTGGAGTTTCAGTTTTTTCAGCAAAAATATTCATGACAATTGGAAAATTAAAATTGTCTTCAAAACTTATACTTATTTTTTTAATTTTATTTTTATTTTTATGTGGCACAATATTTAACCAAATACAGTAGACTGCTCTGTGGAAATACTAGAATATATTTTTAAGAATATGTATTTAAATTTGATGTAAGTTTCAAATTCATACAATACACTTGATATATAAAAAAAACATTATAACGTACCATTTATTGGAAAGCACCCATGACATTTTGAGCGATTACTCGCGATTAAAAAAAAAAAATTAAAGTAAGAAAATAATTTTTTTTTCTGAAAGCAAAAATTTTGCTCAAAAAAAAATTTAAATTCATTATTAATTTTCATTTTTATAAATATTGATCACTCTATTCAAATTCACTGCAGAATTGCAAACAAACTCTAGAGATATACTTCTACGTATACAGAAATCTTTCATGCGATAAGTGAAAATCTTTTGATACTTTTTTTTTCTTTAGAAAAAACTAAACATAATGATTATTATCGATCTATGAATAAAACTATATCATTATTTTATCTTAAACCTTATTCAAAATAATAACATTATCAAGTTGTAAAATTTTACAAAAGAAGGTAATAAATTTTTGTAGGAAGTTTTTGGGAACAATAACAAGTGAACGCTCCATATATTTTTTTCCACTAGTCTGCACTATAATTTCTTATAGAAAACTTGTATTCGCATGCAGATACACATCTTACAAATAACATACTAGTTGCATAAATCTTAAAGGCGATTTAAAATACGCAAATTATTGTCTGCATGCAATAAAATAAAATAAGATAAAAAAATGAATAGCATGATCCAAGCATAGTATGCATTCAGTTCACTGACGAAAATAACTCATTACTCATGCGACATTTTTCAACTTTGACTTTTTGCTCTTTTGCTCTTCCTTGCATATTTTGCGTATTTTTCCGCTTTCTGTGGGTCAACAAAGCTGTGCGTCGTCGAATGGGAGTGCAAGTGTCGGTCAAGTTTCACTTTCAACGCATTGAACGTGCGATTTTTTCATTTTTTTTCTCCTTTTTTGAAGCAAACTTTTGTTGTCTTCACATAAAATTATATAATATTTCTTTAACGCCGGATGTTTGATTGTTTCAATTTGTTTTGTTGGTTTTGTAAAGTAGTTTTTGTAATTTTTATAATTCCACACTTAAATTGCATTGAAATAATAAAATTAATTGCAATTACGAATTTTAATTACTCATGCAATGTCAAAAATTGCCATTGTGTGTAAACAAATAAGCAATGAATGGCTTTTGAAATAATTCAAATATTATTTATTTAAATAATTGCATATAATTTTTCCCCCCCAAAAAAGCTTTTTTTTATTTTGGTATATTTTTTATATGACCGTGGCAGTTTCATTTTCATTCACCTCTTTTCTATGCCTGCAAGATTTTTTAAGATTTTACATAAATAAATATTTGTTAAGCATTTGTGTTTTTGGAATTTTATTAATTTTGGAACTAAAAATAAATTTCAAAAAAAAAAAAATACAATAAAATACGAAAATTTGTCCAAACAAAATTTTATTATTTTTATAACTAAAAATGGCAGTCTAAATGTGATTTATTAGTTTTTTTTTTTATTTTACCATAAAAATTGTGCACCCGAGTGAAGAGCACTTAAGCAAATTTACCTTTAAGACATCTTTGATTTAAACTTAATATTTCAGAAATTTGAGAAGAGGATCTTTGTTAAGCCAAATTCCGACAACCAAAATACGTTTGTGTCCGACTTAAAATGTAATTTTGACCTATGACGTGCCAACCCCTTCAATTCCGTGAGTACTCAGCCCTTGCCTTTAATTTTACCTCTAGCTATCGTAACAAACTGAGTACACCTTCATTTATCGAAAATAAATCAAAATTATTTTCCAAATTCTGTCGCCCAACTATTTTTTTTACTGAGCAAAGTTGATAACAAACAAAATTAAGTTTTTCTTTTTTTTATTGTACTTGTGAATAGAAAAAGCACCTTAAAGTTTTAAAATCTTGACTTTCCGTATACCGTAAAAAGTTCTGACATTATTGAGCCTCAACCTAAAGAAGACCTATTTACGCTCATGCCGAAATATTTAAGCCTTTCAGGAACTTAACAAATTTATTGCAAAATTCAAAACTCTGTATTGATACAGGGTTAATATTTACATATATTAATTTGATAGACATATGATTCGGGGTAGTAAGAAGAAATCCATTACTTTTCCAGTAGATGGCATTATTTATATTACCAAATTTCATGCTCAAAGTTGCTTTTTGATAAGGTTTTGATCATATCCTCACTTCTGAAGAAAGATTTTGAGACGTTTGCTAGATCTTTTTCCAACAAATAGAGGGACCCACAGTTTATACTAAGCCACCCCCGATGGTTTTTTATGAGGACATTCCCTGCCGAGGGGCGACCGTAATTAGAAAATTTAGCTTCATTTTTTATTTAAATTAATTTTCTAAAACCTTTGGATGTTAGTACGACACCAGGATTTGAACCCGAGCTTTCCGATTGCCAGTACGCAATGCTAACCACTCGGCTAATGCGGCTGCTTATTTATTGGGAGTATATATTATAGCGGAATATATTGTTTTTGGGTTCAAAAACGTGTTTTTATTGAAGAAAGTAAAAAATACCTGATTCAAGTTATTTCTCTGGTAATTTCCGAATATCTTTCCTTAAAAACTAGCCCTTTCTGTCCTCAATCCAATCATCGAACCATTCTTCGATTTTTTCAAAGAACCCTAAATACCATCTCAGTATTAAGGACAGTTTTTAATCGTTACAACCGCAAGGAGTCTAGCCTTGTCATATCGTAAAATCACTTTGGCATACCTTTCGGTCATTTCTGGTCATTTTCACGCAATGCACGGCTCACATGCATTAGTTGTAGACGATAACATTACACATCAATGGTTTTGCTTGCTTTTACACATTTTTTAAGGTGGACAGCACGCTCTTTGTCTTCGACGCCAAGAGCATCAATTCTGAAGCGTTAAAACCAATCTCTGTACGACTGCTCAGTCGCCGGTATGACTTTCACTAACATTCAATAGGCTTCAGTTGCACTTTGCTACCAATTACAATAGAAAATCAACACTTTCCGCAAATGCTTTTTATTTAACACAAATCCGTACATTTTCAAGGATGCCAAAAACAATCTTGCTATCAGAATCAGACGCTGATACACACAAACAATTGTTGACCGAAGTGAAGTCTTTCCAATGGAATAAGTAGTCACTGCCAAGAACGACCACAGCTTGCAGGTGGAGCCATCTTTTGAGTACCGAATTTATGTTATTGTGGTCAGATCTGTACATAAAATGGTATATTAACTTTAATCCGAAGTATGTATGTATCAAAAGGAGAAGAGATAAACCCTTCAAAAATTAAATCGATCGGGTCAGAATGCAGAGTTGAGTTGATTTATGCATGTCCGTCTGTCTTTCTCTCTGTTTTTCTGTCTGTCTCTCTGCCTATTTCCAAATCAGTCGCTCAGTTTTTGAGTCATTTCAACCAAAGTGGATACAAAAGACTGATACATTTAAATGATCATCTGCCGAGACCGATGAGAGCGGAACACTATAATATATATACTGGTTTTCCAAATCAGATATTTTGGAACATAAATCCGTCAATATAACAACTAACTACAAATTATAACCGAAAATCGTGGAAATCGGTGCACGTATATATAACATAGCACTCACACAACCGATTTGTTCAGTTGGGAGTTTGCGTGTCAAAAAACTGACAGAAGAGCATGAGAGGGAGAAATTTGGTTTTCTACTGTACAAATAAATATTGATTCTGAGAATCATCGGTATCGGAGGGCTATATCATATAGCCTTCGCACAACCGATTTGTTCAGATGAAAAGTTTTTGGTCAAAACTCCATCATAAAAGGCATCTAAGTTGGTGCTGATAATTACAGAAATCGAAAACCTATAACGCAAAACCGATTTTTTCTAATAAGAAATCTGGCTCAAAACTCCATCAAAGAAGCATCTAGAAGCTAGATAAATATGTAAATATTATACTCGTACGCAGGTAGATAAATACAAATAGGAATGCGCAACGAAAATCGTCGAAACTGGTGGACGATATAGACACATACAACCGTTTAGTAAAGATATAAGAGTTAACATTTAATCCCAAATTAAATACCATAAGTTTGATATGGGCATGAAAGGTATGAATATATCGGCGATACCGAAGACAATTTTTTTTTTTTTCAAATTTTTTACTTTTTCAAACTCCATATATTAGTTTAATCTTTTTTTTTAAGCTTGTCAAGTATCTTTTGCTCTTGAATGTAATGGTAATACTCACCAAATTCATATTCGCGTATTCCAATTTATAAATGTAAGATCCTTAAAAGTTGGAGTAGTTCAATTACAAAATATTGATTTCAATTCTTATACGCGTTGATGGCTTTTCTATTTTTTTCTTTCAAAGGTCATTCAGCTCTATGGTTTTTCCAAGTGTAACTAAATCGAAAGTAAAAGCACATACAAATAAAAAAAAAAATAAATTAATATACGTTTGACGTTTTTTTAATATTGTTTTTTTTTTTTTATAAATTTGTTGATATATAATTAACACATTCACAACTTTCCTTTCAGTACACAACACAAATCATTTAGAGTTTTCAGTATAAACAACAACTTTATTTACTATCAATTAACAGCAACACTATAATTAATGGCGATAGCAATTGTTTATAGTCGCAGGAAAAAAATAGACGCACACAACGCATGCATTAAATATTATAAGTATATATATAAGTATATATTATATATATTTTTTTTGTATGTATGTCTCAGTTTGATATTTTTGCAAAACGTTTACTTTTTTTTATTATTTTTTTTTTTACTTCTAATTTTTAATTTATTTTTTTAATTTATATTTCTTCGTTGTAATGCACAAGATCATTAGGAATATTTCCCAAAATATAACAACAACTCACTAAACTAACGGTTACGTTTGTATGCTAACGCTTTCAATTTTCATATTACCGCTGGACACGTCTTAGGCCATTGAATACTCGCTGCAGACTGATTTGACGGCGACGTGCGCATCCCCGAAAACGTTGTTGGTAACTACAAAAATAGCCACAAGCATTTCTGCATAGGGTGGGCTGGAGCGTAGCGAAGAAGTTGATGAAAGCAATGAAGCCAAGGCTTGCAGACAACACAAAAAGAATTAAGAAAAGAGAAGCCAATATGCGGCGCAGCATGTTGTTAAAACCATGAGCGGTTAAAAGATCTACGAAGGCTTTGCGAAATGTTGCCGAGAAAATATTGCTAAGAAAAATGTTGCTTAGATAATTGTAACTTCAGAAATGTTGCTTAAGTAAATGTTGCTAGTGAAAATGTTGCTATACAAAGTTTTGCAAAAAAAGCTAATACAACAAGACTTTACTTTATGTCTGTCAGCTTCGGCAAGCAAAATGTAGCAAAAATGTTGCAGACACATTTCATACGTAGTCGCTCTTTTACAATGTTACATGCATATATGCAACAACAAGTTAACCGTTAACTTAATTCATAACCGTAGCTGACGTCAATAAAGCCGGCTTAATTGTTGTTTACTTACATTCATTCATTGCTGCGCTTTAGCTGTCATTATTAAGCTATTGTCTGCCTGTTTTCTCGCTGTAACAGTACGAGTATACATAAATGTATGTCTGAGGTTTTTGTTGTAGATGCGCGTTGGCGCATGCGCGAACAAACAAAAGACCTATAAGTACTAAAAACAAGTAGACAAAGAGACAGCATATAAACGAAATGAAATAAAAATGCAATAAAATAAGAAAAGCAAAAAAAAAAATACTTACCGTTAAATGAAAACAGACTTTTTTCTTCACTCCACTCCGCTAGCACTGCCGATAATCAGTCAGATGGGAGGATCGTAAATAATAAAAATGCAATATTCATTACCTTTTGCTGTTTTTCTTTGTGTTATTTGTATTTTTTTTTTTAATAATTTTTTTCTTTTATCCATCTTCTTTATACAAATCTTTTTCTCATTGTTCACCCACCAGTTTGGCCACTTTTTGGTCATGCTAAATGTAAAATTTTCACCAGTTAACTGAAGAAGACAGCGAAGATGCGCAAAAACCACTTGAAACACGTTGGCGCAAAAGTACTATCGAGGGTCAATTGCAGCTTTTGGTGTGGTTGTCTTTTCGCTATTCAATCGGTAATCGAGGCAAAGAAGAAAACAAAAGTACCGTGCAACAGGTATGTGCCACAAAATTATACAACAATAAAAGCTTACTTGCTGCATTTGCGGTTAATCATCTGTTTGGTTATGCTTGGGCGAGTTCAAAGCTCATGTGAATCGATTGGAAATTACAAGTGGAAGTCTTTAAGTGACAGACAAACAGTTTTTAACAGTTTTTCCCTTGACAATAAACAGAATACTCAAGTGTAAATGAGTGTGGCACCCATAAAAGATGCATTCTAGATGTGATAAAATGTAGGAACCAAAGCAGATTTGTCTCTTGCCTCTTCCAAAAACACACTTATTTTTTTTAATTAGTCAAGGTGTTTACGAACAAATAGCATGACTTTAGATTAGAAATTTCGAGGCAAAGGCGAAAAGCTCATCGAGAGTTTGAAAGCGCGATGAGCTTCTGGGCAATCAGGAGAGAAGCTCATAAATTCTACGAAACGATTTGAAAACTTTCAGATCAATTAAAGGCTGGAGATATATTCTATATCTATTATTATCAAGAAGAAGGTTTATCCAAAAAACTTAATCGTATTAAAAATACTACACCTAGCGGTAGTGAATCAAATTTCCAACTGACTACCGACATTGCACACAAAACGAGAATTGGGTTAGGTAGTCCTCAGAACTGTGACAGGAAACCTCTTGATATCGTCACAATATCACAAGTACAGCGCAGCAGCTTAGCTACTAGCTATAGGGTACACTCCACAACAGACACTAACTAGAAGCCGAATCACCACAGAAGGGTCCTGCAGTCAGCGCCACTTACAAGAATCACTGTACAGGACAGCTTACAGGCAGGCATTAAACACCAATCACCACGTGTCCATCGACATCTTTCTGAACTCTCTTTCAATAAATGACCTCGGAGTCAAATGTATTGCAGACAAACTGCTCGAGCTGCTTTGAGAGCCCCGTGATATACCAGCGCAACTAAGATATGGTGATTGTGGGAAATTAAACTCTTACCTCAGACTTGACTCGACATATAAAGAGTCTCCGCACGACACTTACCGCTTCCAAAAAATCTCTATCTAAAAGAAACTAATTATTAAGATCGCTTAAAATTTCCATTGCATTTGAACACCATTTTCGCAGAGAAAATCCTGCACTACCGAATGCCTTTATCAGCTGATCTCTTTATTGTAAAGTTGTTGAGATGTCAAAAAGTCCTGGCAGAATTTCATCTACATACATTGAATTGCGAAGAATTCGAGCTGCTAACGGATCCTGCGTATCTTGAGTTGGCGATAGAAGTTTTCGAGAGAAGGAGTTGACATAGTACAGCGAATAAGAGACAGCAGTTACGTTGCCTTGGTCACGTTTTCGGGATGGTTGAGAACAGAGAGGGAGGACGTAGTGTGGTCAGGAAGTTCTGATTGTGCCTCGCGGCGATATGTTCTTAACGAGTATATGTATGTATGGTTCGTGAAATCAGTTTTATTTTAAAAAATTAAAAAATATTATCAATTAAAAAAATAATAAAGAAAGAAAATATGGTGGTCATCTAATGACCTTAGACTCTTACCTATGTGCCATATGTATGTAATTTTTTTATTTTTTAACAAGATAGCATTAAAACTAGTGAATGTAACCGATATATGTTTGTACAATTTAAAAAAAAAAATTAAAATATATTAAAGATAATAATAGTAACTGATAACGCTCATTTAGAGCAGTATAAATACGACCCACCAGTGCCTTAACCAGTCAGTTACAACCGAAAGTGAGACCCAAACGTACTTCAAAATGAAATATTTCATTGTAATCCTGGCAGCTGTTGTACTTGTAAGTATCTTCACACCTACATACAAACAGTTATTTCATACCAAAAGTGACAAACTTCTGCGCGATGATCTACCAATCCGATTCAAATTCGACATTTGATTCAATCTTGAGCCAAAAGTGAGAGAACTCGATCCGAAAAGGATTTGAAAAGTGTTTCCTTTCATATGGATGTATATATGTACACACATTCATATATGTAAATACATATAGCCGTGGCAAGAACTGAGAGAATCATATGATCAACGGGAAAACATGAAGCTAAATTTTATTGTTCTTTTAAAACCCTCTACAACGACAACGTCGGGGGAGTTGTTTATTTATTTAAAAAAAAAAACAAGAAAACGTATTCAAAAAAAAAAAAAGTCTCTAAATGTCTAGAATTCGGGAATATTTGATGTTATAAAAAAATAAAACAACTCAAAAAAATATTTTATTTTTAGGCTCAGGCAGCTGATGACGACTATAAACTTAAAACTCCCGAAGAGTTCAACGCTATGCGCAGAGAATGCCACAGGGAGTTTCCCTTTAGTAAGGAATTGCAGAACCAGGAGGACAATCTAGATTTTTCTGATGATGAGACAGTACGCAAGTATGAAGTATGCTTTTACAGGAAGTTGGGCATATTAGACGCGGATAATAACTTCAATGGCGACCGCTTAGTAAAGCAATTCGAAGCTGTATTAGACGTAGAAGGGATTGAGCAAAAAGTGAATAACTGCGTGGATAAGAATGAGCAGGGTAGACCTGTTGATGAGTACGTCTCTCGCATTCAAAGGTGTATTGATAAAACTGATATTGCTCCCAACCTATTAAAAGTTATAGGGAAACTATAATAAATGCTGTATTTATACAGTTAAATCTGGTAAATTTGTATTTACATAGCATTTTACCAAAAAAGACAAGAATAAAATAAAATTTATAAGATGTCTTCTGCAGTAATAAAAAGTGTTTTTTTAATAGTTAACAGCCATGCAAGAAGCTTATAATGTAAGTAATGAGCCACCACGCCGCTTGTGATTTTCAGCACGAATGGACAACTCATCATGTTGCTGCAGAATATGAAATTTCCCGCTATTAAATCCCTTTTTTTACAAATTAAAGAACGAAAATCCTTACACATTTATCTACCGCCAGATGATCATTTTATTGTGCCAGGCTGTCTACCGAGTTTGGTTAAAATAGCTCAAATACTAACGGAACAGTTTGCATACGAACTGGTAGAATGATGGACAGATGGACAGACGGACAGGCGGGCAGGCGGACATAACTAAGTCAACTCAACTCATCATTCTACCATATACTGATGTCACAGGTGATCCACGACCATGATTCAGTAATCAGAGATTGGATAAAAAAGCAATTTTTCGCTCCCTCTTGACAAAAACTCTCTCTTACTGAAAAACCATTACGCTTGGTTGATTCAATATTTTGACAACTATTTAATTATTTGATTTTTCTTATTCCGGAATCTGTTGTGATTTAAAACGAGTTTTGCAAATTAACCTATTTTTACATCTCTTCACGGCCGTGTTTGAATAACTCTGCTGGTAGGCCGTCTGCTCCAGCCGATTTGTTGATCTTCAAGCGCATAAATTCAATATACTCTGGGCATCGGCGGTTAGATCACCTCTATGTGTCCCAAAAGAGTCTGCTCCGGTCTTGAAACCTTCCGTAAGTGGTTGTGTCTTCTCATAGAATTTTCGATTATTACCCTTTTCAGCGAATTTGTCAAGCTCTTCATGCTTACGCATCTCGGCCTCTTTCTTTTTTTGTCCGCAGATGCGTTTTGCTTCACTCTTCATCTCCCGATATCAATCCCATCCCGCACGTATTGTAGTCGATCGCAACATTGCGAGGTAGTCGTTCTGTTTTTTCTCTACTGCGACACGACAGCTTTCATCGTACCAGCTGTTTTTGCGAGTTTAGATTGCAGCTGCACGTAGGGTAAGGCGATGCCGTCCCAGAGGTCCGGTATACCGAGTTGCTGATGAGTGCTCTCAGAAAGCAGGACTGCTAGGAGAGCCTGTATCTTCGCTGCAACAAGATAATGGTTCGAGTAGATGTTGTGTCCTCAGCCAAGTAGTTTGATGAACTTTTTTGTGCTGGAATTTAGTACTACAGACAACCATATTTCAAACCACAGCGAAGTCGATCAGCCTCAACCCACTTGGGGATGTTTCATTGTGAAGGCTGAGTTTTCCGACAGTTGTGCCAAAGATATCCTCTTTGCTTACCCCAACGTTGAAGTCGCCATGCACGGCGTAGTGGTTAGTACTCTTATTAAAGGTATCTTTAGTCACATCGTCATCGTTCCTTTCCGTCGTGGCATGGACGCAATTCAACATTGGTTTGAAAAATTTCGTTGTGAGACGTTGATCCACCGGAGTGATTGCCAGTACTCGGCGACGGAGTCCCTCTCCCACACCAAATTTGTGCTTTTTCATATATCCGTTGTAGTATATTTCTCAAGGCCCACCTTCTTCCGTCCATTAATTTTATTAATGACATCAACCGAATTATGCAAACTTGCTTCAGTTTTTCAATTAAAACTGGTTTTACTATTTATAATTTTATTACTTTGCATTTCCATAGACTTTCACAGTAAATAATTTCATTTAATTGTTACATATAGTAATTTAGAAAATATTACTATAATATTTTCATTTCAAAAGTATTTAATTCGTGTTTGAAATGAATGAAATATAATAAATGCACTGTTAATTTCCCACTTTTCCTCTTACCTGTCAATTCCTTTTTTGCTGCTTTAATTATTGAATAATGATCCGAGACGAGGTACCTTTTTCAATAACTTTTTATTGGCAGACCATTCGTGAGTCGTGTCAAGTTGTCATATTATTTCTGTTCAGTATTGTTTGACTTACGCCTGAACAACGATTTCAAATCGTTCAACTTATTTACGAAAATTCACGTTCCCTGAACTTATGGTCAACATAATCGGTCTACTGAACATACTATTTGAATAGCTCCTCCTACATATACTCATCTTGAGACCCAGCATTCATAATTGGGTAATACTCGACCGAATAGACCACATCCAGCACGCAATTGGAGAGTGGAAACAAAGACAGTGGAGAGATCTTAAAATGAAAGCATTCAAAATACAATCTTCTTCACCTTCTCAAGGGACAATGCTTCGCTTTGTGAGTCGTTTTCAAGAAAATCCGACTATTTCGAGCAACTGAAAGGGATTCAAGAGCTGCAATTTCATCTGGAAAATACTACGGTTTGGTGTGATTTGTGGGCTGGTGGAATCATCGATCCATATTTCTTTAAAAATTATCAATTACCTGACACTTTTCACATTTGTGGTCAATTTCCTAGAATTGTGAGAAACAGGAGAGGATTAGTTGGCAGTAAAATTAGTAGTTGCAGAGCGCTTTGCAGACTAGACAATGCAGCAAAAGGCATGAGTCTGTTAGTGGACGAGGATTATATGGAATATCTCCTGTCGGCTCTCTCTTCACTGTTGACAGTCACAATATTGAAGTTGGATAAGGAAATACAACGCACAATCACGGTTGCTTGCTGGTGCTACGATTTTGTACTGAATAAGTAACTGAAAGCTATAGTGTTTAAATCGAAATGTAAATTTTCGCGCACGCCGATTCAACTCAGTGCTTTCTAGAGGGAGAAAGGAAAAAACAACTGTATAAATATTTGAAATAAATCATTTAAAGCTAACAAAAAGGGGTTGATTACCAACATATATATATGTGGAGGTATATGCATGTATATGGATAATCTTTAAAAATATTTAATAATAGATACATATATATATATATATTTACTACATATTGAAATAATTCTGTAAATAAGGAAAATGAAAAATTACCTATGGAAAGTTCGCTTGTTTGCTGCATTCGCTAATGTGTCCGCTGCTGTAGCCGTCTTCAGAAAAGTGATCCCGTTTTTAGCGAAATATTAGCTTAAATATCATCAAAATATGATAATAAACATCACCGGTAGTTTTCCGGTTTCAGTGTTAGTAAGCAAACGGAAACTACCAGTGGCTCTCAAATATTTAAAGCTTTTGGCTTCAACATTGCCGCCAGCCTTGCAATATTAGAGGATAATAATAACTAAATATTGATAATAAATTTTAATATTAAATATTATGGTTTGTACGATACTTAAAGCTAGAAACTAATATGTGCTTGCAAATAAATAATTGTTGAGGGTGTGAAGACCCCAAGTCCGAGGCCTTGGAGCCTTCACAGCAAGAACAACAACAACAAAAGAGAAGTTACAACATATATATATATATTATATATATATATAACATGAAGTACCTACAAATAGATATATATATATAGAAATATATATATAAAAAATTATATTTTAGAAGTATAAGATTATATATATAAACATATATACACTTTGTATACATATGAAATTTAAGCTAGACACTAGCGTAGCGAGCCGCCGCTGTTAAGTAGGGCAAAGGAGAACAGGCGATAGGCCTACCAACAAAAGGCAGTGCATAACTGTCCACCTGTAGGAAAATTTGGTATAAAAGGAGCAGCATCAGCAGTGATACGACACTTCTGTTTGTGCTGTCGTAGTTAGAATATATGGTGTGACGTGCAAACGCTGCCAATAGGAGTAGATAGAAGTATATGGTGTGACGTGAAAACGCTGCCAATAGAGATATACGGCTGACGTGAAAACGCTGCCAGTACGATACGGTTAAGATATATGGTGTGTCGTGAAAACGCTGCCAGTAGAACATTTGAAAATAAAGCTAATTGTGTAAGGTAGAACCATCCGTGTTGTCCTTTTTCTATCGAGATTATAGGAGAGACCCATAATCCGGCTGAGAGATAGCCCAGCTATAAACCGGAGAACCGGGTACGTTACAACTGGCGCCCAACGTGGGGCCCTTATAATATTGAGGAAAATAAGGGCCAAGTAATAAGGAACCAAAAGTGAAAGTGAAGTGAGGATAAAACACGAGTGCGTACGAATACGAGTGAGAGTGACACACAATACATATATATATATAGGCCTGAGAAAAGAGAATTATTAAATAAAATGGTTAAAGTAAACTGGGTTTACTACCTCAACAAAGAGGAGTTGATAAAATATTCCACCGAGTTCGGCCTATCGAGTATAGGCACCGTCGACGAGTTAAGAAAACGCCTCGCGACATTTCTGCAGGAGGAGGGCGAGAGCGAAGGTCTGCGTGATCGGGTCACAGACTTATCGTTGAGACACGCGAAATTATCTACGATAACAAACTCGCCTACACCGAGGCAAAAAGAGTCACTACAGTTGCACAGTCACAGCGACCTAGCAACGACGGCGGGACGGGAATGTCTCCCCGTATGACCGAGACATATACCCACGTCTACCCACAATTGTCCAACCAATCAGTGATGGACCGCGTTCGGAAGTGGGGTGTGAAATATGACGGCGGCAAGGACCCACTTGGCTTCATCGAACGCGTCGAAGAATTAGCACACGGCTACGAAGTAGAATTAAGCGCGCTCCCGAGAGCGTTACCGGAACTGCTCAAGGACCGAGCCTTAGTCTGGCTCCGTAATAACCACGGCCAATGGCAGAACTGGGAGACATTCAAACGAGATTTCTTGAAGTTCTTCCTGATTTCTCGTTATTTTGAGCGACTAGATGACGAAATCAGGCAACGTGTGCAACGACCAAAGGAAAACTTTAAAGATTATGTACTCGCACTCCAAGGGCTAATGAAGCATTCAGAGTACACGCCAACACAAAAACTTCGGCGCATATATCGAAATTGTAGGAGTGACTACCAATTATACATAAAAGAGAGTGAGTTCGGAACCCTAACCGAACTAATAAGTCTGGCCGAAGACTTCGAAAATATCATACGAGAGAGAGAACAATCTAGGACTGCAGTTAGAATAAAGCCACCCACGAGAAATGAAGAGCATTACTATGCTATAAGAAAAGAGTCACGTAGAGAGAGATATGCGTTGCCAGAAAGGCACTTCGAAGAGCGTCGGCATGCGCCGACAAGAGAGGCGTTGATTCCACGATTCCACCAGGTGAACCGGCAACCTAGAAACGTGGAGCCCAGCCGAACGAATCCACAAACGGCGTGTAGAAGATGTGGCGAAAATGGACACTTCGCCTATGAGTGTCAGAACGCCATCCAACTGTTTTGCTGGACATGTGGACGAAGAGGCGTTCGAACCCAAGAGTGTTGCTGTTCGAGTCCGGGAAACGGCCAGCGTCTCCACCTAATACGAGGGGTGAAGTCGTCCTCCGTTGCAACAATTTCGTACAAGATGCCGTCAGTTTTACGCCAGACAGAAGGTCGGATAATAGCCTCAGTCGTGATAAACGGAAAGCCCATATCAGCAACGATCGATACTGGAGCAACTCAGAGTTTTATCAGCAAGAAGGTAGCAGAATCCCTAAAAGTGGAGCCAACACGAAGGGTGTTCAAGAAGGTATTGATGGGAGATGGTAGACCAAGAGCGGTCACCGAAGCAGTGAAAGCAACTATACAAATGGGCGACAAAGAGCACACGAGCGAGTTACTTGTCCTACCAGGTGTAATCGACGACGTGGTCCTCGGGACAGATTACCTGGTAAAAGCCAACACAACCATTAGCTGCGGAGGGCAAATAATTAAGCTGAAGGCAGAAAGCGAGACACGAACGAAAATTAAATGTTCAACTATGAAGGTCTACGAAGGATTATTCGATCGTAAGACGAAAGAGCAGCAGAAGATAGAGGTCGGAGAAAATGAAGCAATCAACTGCAGGTGGCTAGAAACCAAATTAAGAGAAGTTAAGTTGGCTCCGGAAAAGTTCCCGGACTACACGCTACGAAGTGGAGAATTGTATCACCACATACCAAATGAAGAAGACGCCACCCCATGGAAGCTCTGCGTAGCAACCCCATTACGTCAAAGAGTAATGAACGAAGTTTATGGCAGTCCCAATCCCGAAAACATGGACATTAAGGTAACTCCTGAAAAGGCAGAAGCACGATATTACTGGCCGAGAATGTTCAGGGATATCAAAAGGTACATCCGACAGTGCGCTAGATGTCACATAACTAAGCCGAGTGAGCAAGAAGATGCGGGTACGAGTGAGACAAACACAACTCTGGTAGTAGACAAGGCGACGAAGAAGCGAAGAAATAGAAAAGGCCAAAGAAACACAGAAGAAGAAGAATCCGCAGAAACAAAGAAGAAAAATCAGAACTCGAAGAAGTCCAAGCAAAGAACAAGAGTCGAAGAAGATGCCGAAGAGCCGGAGAATAAGAAGCAGAAGAAAACAGAAGATGAAACCGAAACACCACGAGAGAAGAACAAGCCGAAGAATATCCGAAGAAGAAGAAGAAACCGAAGAAACAGAGAAGTAGAAGCAGAAGAAAACAGAAGAAGAAGTCGGAGAAAAAGAGAAGAAGAAAAACCACAATTTTAAGAAGTCTACGTACAGAACGAAATTCGAAGAAGAAGAAGCCGAAGTATTGAAGAAGAAGAAGAAGATGTCGAAGAGCAGAGAACAGAAAAGGTGAAAGCNACAAGAAAAGTCTCTAAATGTCTAGAATACGGGAATATTTGATGTTATAAAAAAAACAAAAACAACTAAAAAAAAAATATTTTATTTTTAGGCTCAGGCAGCTGACGACGACTGGGTACCCAAAACTCCCGAAGAGTTCAACGCTATACGCAGAGAATGCCACAAGGAGTTTCCCTTTAGTAAAGAATTGCAGAAACAGGAGGACAATCTAGATTTTTCTGATGATGAGACAGTACGCAAATATGAAGTATGTGTTTTCAGGAAATGGGGCATAATAGACGCGGAAGATAACTTCCATGGCGAGCGCTTAGTAAAGCAATTCGATGCTGTATTAGACGAAGTAGAAAATATTGAGCAAAAAGTGAATAACTGCGTGGATAAGAATGAGCAGGGTAGCCCTATTGATGTGTATGCCTCCCGAATTCAAAGGTGTATTGATAAAACTGATATTGCTCCCAACCTATTAAAAGTTATAGGGAAACTATAAGAAATGCTGTATTTACACAGTTAAATCTGGTAAATTTGTATTTACATAGCATTTTACCAAAAAAGACAAGAATAAAATAAAATTTATAAGATGTCTTCTGCAGTAATAAAAAGTGTTTTTTTAATAGTTAACAGCCATGCAAGAAGCATATAATGTAAGTAATGAGCCACCACGCCGCTGATGATTTTCAGCACGAATGGACAACTCATCATGTTGCTGCAGAATATGAAATTTCCCGCTATTAAATCCCTTTTTTTACAAATTAAAGAACGAAAATCCTTACACATTTATCTACCAGCCAGCCTGTCTACCGAGTTTGGTTAAACTAGCTCAAATACTAACGGAACAGTTTACATACGAACTGGTAGAATGATGGACAGGGTGGTCCATTTTCACTACCATTCAGTATCAACGTACTGCGACACGACAGCTTTCATCGTACCAGCTGTTTTTGCGACCTTTACGAAATCCAATAGTTTAGGTTGCTGCTGCACGTAGGGTGTTTTGCGATGCCGTCCCAGAGGTCCCGTATACCAAGTTGCAGGACTGCAAGGAGAGTAGAAAAGCGTTCGGCAGGCTGTTGTGGTTGCAGCTTTTCAACGTCGAACTTTCCTTAAGTTTGTTGACGGGCGTTCTTCGATAGACAGTTGTGCCTGGATCTTCGCTGCAACAAAATAATGGTTCGAGTAGATGTTGTGTCCTCAGCCAAGTAGTTTGTTGCACTTTTTTGTGTTGGAATCTAGTACTAATACTACTTGAGGATGTTTTATGTGAAAGCTGAATATTCCGGCAGTTGTGCCAAAGATATCCTCTTTGCCTATCCCAACGTTGAAGTTGATCCACCGGAGTGAATGCCAGTACTCGGCGACGGCGTCCCTCTCCCACACCAAATTTGTGCTTCTTCATATGGCCGTTGTAGTATATTTCTCAAGGCCCACCTTCTTCCGTCCATTAATTTTATTAATGACATCAACCGAATTATGCAAACTTGCTTACGTTAACCAATTGAAACTGGTTTTACTATTTATAATTTTATTACTTTGCACTTCCATAGACTTTCACAGTAAATATTTTCATTTAATTGTTACATATAGTAATTTAGAAAATATTACTATAATATTTTCATTTCAAAAGTATTTTATTCGTGTTTGAAATGAATGAAATATAATAAATGCACTGTTAATTTCTCACTTTTTCTCTTACCTTTTAACTCCTTTTTTGCTGCTTTAATTATTGAATAATAATCCGAGAAGAGGTACCTTTTTCAATTTCATTTTATTGGCAGACCATTCGTGAGTCGTGTCAAGTTGTCATTTTATTTTAAGATTTCAAATCGTTCAACTTATTTACGAAAATTCACGATCACTGAACTTATGGTCAACATAATCGGTCTACTGAACATACTATTTGCAATAGCTCCTCCTACATATACTCATCTTGAGACCCAGCATTCATTATTGGGTAATACTCGACCGAATAGACCACATCCAGCACGCAATTGGAGAGTGGAAACTAAAATGAAAGCATTCAAAATACAATCTTCTTCACCTTCTCAAGAGACAATGCTTCGCTCTGTGAGTCGTTTTCAAGAAAATCCGACTATTTCGAGCAACTGAAAGGGATTCAAGAGCTGCAATTTCATCTGGAAAATACTACGGTTTGGTGTGATTTGTGGGCTGGTGGAATCATCGATCCATATTTCTTTAAAAATTATCAATTACCTGACACTTTTCACATTTGTGGTCAATTTCCTAGAATTGTGAGAAACAGGAGAGGATTAGTTGGCAGTAAAATTAGCAGTTGCAGAGCGCTTTGCAGACTAGACAATGCAGCAAAAGGCATGAGTCTGTTAGTGGACGAGGATTATATGGAATTTCTCCTGTCGGCTCCCTCTTCACTGTTGACAGTCACAATATTGAAATTGGATAAGGAAATACAACGCACAAGCAACTACGACCTTGTACTGAATAAGTAACTGAAAGCTATAGTGTTTAAATCAAAATATAAATTTTCGCGAACGCCGATTCAACCCAGTGCTTTCTAGAGGGAGAAGGGAAAAACAACTGTATTAATATTTGAAATAAATCATTTAAAGCTAACAATAAGGGGTTGATTACCAACATATATATATGTGAAGGTATATGCATGTATATGGATAATCTTTAAAAATATTTAATAATAGATACATATATATATTTGCATACATATTGAAATAATTCTGTAAATAAGGAAAATGAAAAATTACCTATGGAAAGTTCGCTTGTTTGCTGCATTCGCAAATGTGTCCGCTGCTGTAGCCGTCTTCAGAAAAGTGAGCCCGTTTTTAGCGAAATATTAGCTTAAATATCATCAAAATATGATAATAAACATCACNAGAACCATCCGTGTTGTCCTTTTTCTATCGAGATTATAGGAGAGACCCATAATCCGGCTGAGAGATAGCCCAGCTATAAACCGGAGAACCGGGTACGTTACAAGGGCATTTTTCTAAAATTGAATTTTGGGTTGTAGGAAACCTAGGAAACATCTAGGTTTCCGTTTTGTTTATGTGATGGCAAACATCACGGACAAGAACCAGTGCAACCGCTTCTGATTGATGAAAGTTTGGATTCGCTAACTTTACATTTGTAGACTTCTTCGCTACAGAACAATTTAGATGGCGCGCTGGAGTTTTCAAGCAGATCTCCTGTACAATTTTCACAGTCAGTAAAAACCTTACGCGTGCATCACTGGATGATCCAATTATGATCCCACACATCTCTAAATTTGCCACTGGTAGAGTCCATAAACGTAGTATTTTAATCAATGATTTGCAAATTTTGCTGGTCTGCGAACAAGGATCGAGAAGCGCTCCTGTGAGAAATCTCTGATTATTGTCGTAAACATAAACTGCACACATCGGGAGTACAGCAACATAGCCGATAGCCAGATAGCTGAGTTAATAAAGGTGGAAGTTCACGACGGGGGTGAGACGATGACCGGAATGAAGCAAGATGTGATGGTCCTCGTTTCAATACGCACACGAACCTTTGCTTTGACATCTCTTGGCAGTATGAGAATATTCCAAACAACCTGAACAATACTTATGCAACAAAATGAGACGGGGTCGGCTCTCATAATTGGCGTCTAGAAAGCGCCTACAGAAACGAAGTGGGAACTCGGTATTTTGATGATTTCTACGTCTGGTTCTAGGTTGGTGGAGAACGTTTTGGGGAAGATATTGAAGAAACCAATAGTGTTGGAGAAGCTGACCTTTTTTAGAACTAATTTTGTAAAGCAACTAATTTGACAGTAGGCCGTGTTATCATCCCCTTCTGCGTACGAATATCCGCTACCCCAACTCTGTGATCACCCCTCATTGGGGGGAAGATTTTCGTGTCGAACTACCACCATTTCGTCGTTATTGTTATCGCGTTGAGAAAACTTCCATTTATAACGCTTGTGAAGTTCTTTCAACTATTCTTCTTTCCATCGAAGTGAGTGTTGTAGGCCAAGAGCCTTTACTTTCTGCCCACAATATATTAAAGAAAGTGGGGTCGTTTCGATTTTGGGTTCCGTAGGCGCAAGAATGGGAATGGGACTGCCGACTGGAATATGACCAGGTGTTAAAGCAGCGTAGTCTGTAAGATCCTCTGAACTCGGTGAAATAGGCCTGGAATTAAGGCCGACTTCTTTCTATTCGACAAAGCAAAGTTTGAAGCTCCTCAAATGTAAATCTATCTGAATTGGCTACTCGTCGAAAATGAAATTCGAAGCTTTTGACTCCAGCTTCCCATTGTCCGCCCATATGTAGAGCACCTGCTGGAATGAAGTTCCATGTTAGCTCTTGATGGCAGTACTTATTGCAAACAGCTTCTTGAGAAGTCAGTAGAAATTTTCCAAAGTCCTTTTTCAAAGCTCCTACAAAGTTTTTACTATTATCCAAATAAATTTGTTTTGGACAATCTGGAAAATGCACGAAGAAACGTTTAGGCAAGAAGAATGGTTTCTGTTGAAAGATCGTTGATTCCAAGGGAATTACTTTCTTTGAAAAACAGACGAAAATACAAACATATCCCTTTGTAATTTTTCAAGCTCGGCCAGAAAAACCTTTGATTTCGAAGGGGCGTACGAAATCGACACCTGTATTTTTGAACGGCCCGGACTATCCAGAAAAAGGTTCAAAATTTAGAATTTGCTTTTTGAATGAATCGTTGTTCTTCAGATGATTGAGCTAAACGTATGAGTCAATCGCGGATATTGGAAATTTCCTTAACATAGCATACGAATGCAATGAACGTGTCCTTATATTGGCCAAATTATAAAACCGAAAAACGTATGCCAAAGGTCGTAATGCTCGAGATAGCAACGAAAAACGCTCAAAGAGATCCTCAGTATACGTGACTTGAGAGGCATGCGCTCGTACTTTCCTTGCCTTCATATTTACATCCTCAATGTCTGCAGACGGATATGGTCACTGATCTTCATGTTTTGTCAACCATTCCGGACCGCACCACCACAAAGTGTTTAAAAGTATACCCTGGAGGAACGCGCCTCGAGTTCTAATATCTGCAGGATTATTATGAGAACCCACATGAGGCCTGTGACTAAAATCACCAACTTCCTCAATTTTAGCTACTCGATTCGCAACAATGGTTGTCCAGGAGGCAGGAAGCCTTTAGCCAAGATAAAACGATAGCAGAATTGGGTAAAATACAGTATCTGAATTCATCTTCAAACGGGGAAGAGAAACGGCTCTAATGGTGCAACTTTAGTTTTGGCTAATAAAAGATGTGACGAAACAAGTCACTGGTTTTCTTCTGACGCGGCGCAAAGGGGATGAACTCGAATTGGACCTTGATTAGTATAATTTACACAACGCGGAATTTTAATCTTGTTAATAAACCGGTTGGAACATATAGTTTCGTTATCATTGACAAAACTTCCCTATTTGTACATACATCTTTTATAGCAATATTTTGTACTGATTCTTCTAACTAAAAAAAACTCTATCTAATAGGTACTCCTTATTAAGATGGCTTAAAATTTGCATTGCATTTGAACACCATTTTCGCAGAGAAAATCCTGCACTACCGAACGCCTTCATAAGCTGATCTCTTTACTGTA